AAGGTTTGCCCCCCCCCCCCCTCCTCCACTAGCCTCTTCTTATCAGAATGCCTCTGCCTGGTTTAATGTAATGTTCTCTGCCTGATTTTTTTTAATTTAATTTTTACAAAATTATAATTTCACATGTCAATCCCGTCTCCCTCTCCTTCCCCTCCCCCAACCCTCCTCTCTGCCTGATTTTTAACTTAATAAAACATGATACCCACTTTCTTCTACTTCAGGCGTTAAGTGCACAGTTCTAGTTAAAGTATATATGTGTACACACGTTCAAAACATTTCACGTTTAGCGAGTCGCTGACCAGAGAGGGATCTGGTCCTGATGGAGGCCCTTGCCCTAGTGCTCATCATGGCAGGTGTAGAGACCTAAGGAGGGGGCTTTGAAAGGACTCGTTCTAGAAGATACAGGGCACGTATGTGGCTATTTCAGAGACCCCCCCACAGAGTTGCACCCACGCACATGGACTGAATCCAATTCAGAACCATTTTGAAAATGAATCTGAGAGTTTCTCTGGAGTCCAACCAATTCGAAAATCTTTCTTTCTTTCCTTTCTTTTTTATTTTTTAAGCTGGTTTCATTTACATTTATATTCACAACTTGATCTTAATTCTGTTAGGCTCCTATTTCAATGTTCCTTTTATTTCCAATATTTCTCTATTTGGTGTATATTTTTCTCTTTTTCTTGTTTGCTTTTGAGATAAACATGAGGCTCCCCCTCCGTTTTCTTGATCACCAAAACACCTGCGGGTGGTACTTTTGTGGGATGTATTTGCTTCTAAAAGAAAGTGTCATCATAAACACAAATCCTGCCATGCAGAGGAGGTGACTGACTTATGAAAGCCCAGCATCTCATTTAATGGGTGAGCTGCACCCACCCCGGTGTTGTCAGGACAGTCTACTAAGTTTGGTCCATCTTATGGCAAAGGAAGACTTCTAAATAGAGTATTAAGAGAAAATTACTCAAAATGGGCTGTGAGCTATCTTAGTGTTGGCATACAAGTATATGAGAAAGATCAGGAGAGATGGCAGGAGAAATAGTGAGAAAAAAAGTACATAAAATACAGTTGGTTATCTAAGCATCAGGTAGCAAACTTTCCCAGGAGCTACTGGGACGAAAAGCAAACAAAGAATGAGAGAAATACAGTATTTAAGAAAATCACGCTGTTCACGCTTGCGTTTCATGTTAACCATATTTATGTAAACAGGAGAGGTCTTGTTAAGCAGGTTCTAACATAAATGGAGTTGATTTGTTTCTTCCTTTTAATATTTACAATTATTCTCTTAAACAACCTTCAGATTCTCGGGGGCAGGAGGGAGAAAAAATTACCAACAGGTGAAAAACTTAAGTATATTTTTAAAAGAATTACTTATGTATACATTGAGAAATGGTGTGCAAAGTGTAATTTGTACAGTTTGGACTTTGGTTTTGAGGGTTGGAGGTAGAAAACAGAAACGGTCTATCATTCTGATACTCTAAAGCGTGTCGAAGCTTCCCACAGGTATTCAGTTTGTAAAATACCCTTGTGTGTTAAAAGTATGTGCATCCTGCTGTCGCTGGTATGATGTTCTTTACATGTTTATCAATTAGGAGATCAAATTCTTTCATGCAGATTTTTATGTCTACTAGATTTGTATTTTTTTAGGTTTGATAAAATTTCTCATTTCAATTAGAGGTTTTAATTTTTTTCTCATCTTTTTCCAAGTTTTTCTTTATATATTTGAAGCCATACTAGTAGGGGATTTATACTTTTTTTTAAAACCCTTTCATGTCCTTATATTTAGTATGTTGCTTACAAACAATTAGATTTTTGTACGTTTGCTTACTTGCCTTTTAATTAAAGCATTTAATGCATTTGAAAAAAAAAGAAAGAAAGAAGTCAGGTGACGGGGATAGCGTATCTGGCTGGGTATTCTCCTTCAGTTTCCTGACTTAGCACAGGGAGCTACTCAGAATGAAAGGCAGGCGCTTACCAAGGAGTGCCACCAGGGTGAGCAGGATCACAATGCTCTTCATTCCTTTTCTTTTATGGAAATACAGAAGGATGCAGAAAACCAGGATTTCTAAGATCTAAAAATGAAACAGATTAAAAAAAAAAAAGGAGAGTAAGTTACTCTATATAGCCCACAAGATGCCCCAAACATCTGCTTGGATTTGCCACGGTCCTCCCGAGGGTTGCGGTGACTGAGGTTCCCAGGGCTGACTGAATGCAGGGCAGTGCCAAGACCCTCCCTCAGTGACCCAAAGACCCCACCTACCACCTACCTGCCAGAGACACCAAGCCCAGCTCTCCAGGCCCAGTTCCTCTGCCTTTCTAGTCTCATCTACTCAACTGTTTCTTGTCCCCGAGTGCTCTGAGCAGACACGCTGTGCTAAATGGGGCAGCCCCTTAGCTCTTGATTCCTTACTGCCTGCCAGGCGCTTCTGTAGCCATGCACCCCTGCAGGGGCTCCCAGCTTCGTCCCCCTTTCCCCTCTGCCAGCACCCAGGGTCCCCGTGCAAGCCTGCGGCCATTTTCTGCTTTGCCTGACTCTACCCTTGTCTTTCAACACTTGTACCATCTGGCAGTCCAGGATTATTTAAAGCCATGGACACAGGAAAGGTGGTGCATTGACAAAAATGATATTTTATTTAGCTGTAAAGGACATGCGGGAAGATGGTGGAAATTAAAATCAGACTAAAAAAAAACAAATAAAAGAAACAACTGTGCATGAGATTCATCCAGATTGATACTGGGAGTGAAAATATAAATTAGTTCCTTTGCTTGGATTTCTTACGGCTTTCCATCCTTGGTATGTTAAAAACTAAATTTTCTCCTGGGTAGCAAAGTCTAGCTTCTGCCACAGACCTCATAGACCATCCAGCCTGTGCCAATCATGATGGCCTTGGTTCTCTTACTCTTCCTTGGTCCTCCCTCCCCTGCCTCCTTCGCTCACTCTAGGGCAGTGGTTCTCAAGCCCTTGGGGTTGAACGATGCTTTCATAGGGGGGCCGCAGCATGAGGAAGGTTGAGAACCACCGAGCTAGTTCTTCGTTATTTTCAGATGTCCCTTAGCCAATCTTCCTAGTCATTCAGCTCTCAGCCGAAATGTCACCTCCTCTGAGGTTTCCCTGATGACTCTTCCGTCCTGCCTTACCCCAGCTTCAGGTCACCGCGGCCTGTTTCTCATCATCTAGCGGGTTTCTTGTCCTGTCTCTTCTCTGTCTTCTCAACGAGAGACAGACCAAGCCAGTTCAATGAAAACAGGAACTTGATCTGTTCTCTCTGTCACTCTCTCTCTGTGTCCAGCACGCAGTTGGTCACTGAATGAGTATTTATGGAATTTCACAAATCTATTTCAAACAGCTGGCCTGCCAAGCAGACCTAATATCCAATAAACTGGAAGTCTAAAATTTTTCTGGGTTTGGGAAAAGCCTAGTATCATCTTGAACTCTCAGTGTTTGGGGGTTTTTTACATTTAAAAATTTGCCACCTTTGAGAAATCTGAAACCCAGCTGGGGTTGATTTTGGTAAAGAGGTAGCACCCCTCCAGTGAAACCATAAATATGAAGATTTGCTTTTTACACAGAAGACCAATAATTGTTTTCTGTTTTTTAACAATCATTGCGCTAAGGGTGTCACTATTTCCAGGATTGGGTTTTACTTATAGAGCCTTCTCTAAATAAAGTAAATTTCTGTTTGGGCTCTAGATCCTGCCATGGCTAGATCTCCCTCAGTTAGGAAGCTTTCCATATAATATGGGAGATTAAATTATCCTTTCAACTTTTCCCTGGTAAATGAAGCCAATTATTGTTACTTTTCTGCAAGGCCATTAACTAAGACAGCCCTACAAAAGCTGTCCAAGAATTATTCTATGCCTTCCCTCTAAGTGCTCCCTATGCCTTCTCTCCAGGTGCTCCCTATGCCTTCTCTCCAAGTGCTCCCTATGCCTTCTCTCCAAGTGCTCCCTATGACTTCTCTCCAAATGCTCCCTATGGCTTCTCTCCAAATGCTCCCTATGGCTTCTCTCCAAGTGCTCCCTATGCCTTCTCTCCAGGTGCTCCCTATACCTTTTCTCCAAGTGCTCCCTATGCCTTCTCTGCAAGTGCTCCCTATGGCTTCTCTCCAAATGCTCCCTATGGCTTCTCTCCAAGTGCTCCCTATGCCTTCTCTCCAGGTGCTCCCTATGCCTTCTCTCCAAGTGCTCCCTATGCCCTCCCTGACGAGCAGAGCATGGAACATCTGCTTCATGCTCACACTGAATTTTGGTGAGGCAGGATATAGATAGTTGTAGCCAGTTCTAAAAAGCCATGTAGATTTTTTTCCCTCCTCAAATTCCATCTCTGTGGCTTCAGATAAATAAAACATGAGTTCTCGTTGTCTGCAGGACGATTCCCTTGGCACTGGGTTCCGCCCCATGAGTTCTCATCGTTATCTGCATGAGTTCTCATTATCTATCTGCAGGACGACTGGTGGTTCCGCCGCGTGTCAAGAGGTCACACAGCTCCCAGGGATGAAATATTCCAGCGGTTCTGAGCAACGTCCACTCTTCTCTATGCTTCTCTCCG